TTGGTTTTTTAATTTTACTCTAAAACTGTAATTTTTTTTATCTTAATCAGGAGAACATTGATAAGAATGGCAGATAACGAATTGATTTTTATTTTTCATGAGAAGGAAAATCTTGATGATCAATCAGGTGACACAGTGTCATTCCAAGAATCGTGGAGGTGACAAAGAAAGTCACACTGGGGCTCAAAATGACCTGGAGAATGATGCAAGTTTGTTGAATGATGATGGAAATTGATAAAAAATTCAACAAATTCATGTGTCAGAATCATTCATCATAAGAAAATGCCCATGTGTAATGTCAGCAACTGAAACAAAGGCTCATAAAAATGTGTTCGAGGTAAATTACCCCTGCTGCTCCCTCGCTATATTGAAATGTTTAATTTTTGTTTAATATTAGTTGATCCAAGATGGAATCCCGGCGCAGACGCACAGGCTGTTGATAGGTAAGACACTCTTGCTTCACCCAGAAAGTGAATTGTTTTCTTCTCACTTTTCAGGTGAAACAACGGTAGCTTTTTCGTCCTCTGTACCTTGTGGTGTGATCCTGATTCATGATCTTAATTTTTCTTTTAGGAATTATCGTACTGGTCGGTTGTCATATACCGTTTTATAACGTGTGGAGGTTAAGAAGAAAAGATTTACCGTAAACAAGTATTTAATTAAACAAGCTATTACAAAGCAAACGACTGGGTCTTGAATAAATCCTTTCAGGTTAGACAAAGCACAAAGTACTACGTTCTCTTGCTCTACTGACTCTGTTTTTACGTTGTTAAGGTTCGTCGAGCAGCAGACATCATGACAGCTGAGTCAAGTCAAGCTATCACCGCACGAGATGATTATTTACTTTCTTCTTTGTCGAAGGAAAAGAAAAAGAAAAATCAAACCAAAACTCACGATCATATGGAAGTTTTTATTCCTTCAAGTGAAGAGTCTACACGATTCAAACCGAACAGGAAGAAAAGTTATGATGTACGACTTAACGTGAATTTGTCGTTTCTTTCACGAACTAATTAAAATTTCACCTTAATATGAGAACAGTTCTTCCAGGTTGACCCATCTGAACCGCACTATTTATTTAACGACATTTCTTAATGCAGACTGTATTTATTATCCACTTAATTTTTTCTTGTTTCCTGCATCCTCTGAATTCATTGATCTCACCGTGTTTGACGCAAAAATACATTGAAGGAAACAGTTGACAATAAAAATGAAAACTCTTCACTTAATGAAGAGATAAACATCGGTTCTAACATCTTTGAGCATGAGACCTCGAAAAAGTCGCAGTTTTTTAAAGGATTCCGTCGGATGTGCCATGACATCTTCGCTGTGTAAAGTGAAGGCGTCACGCCCGATTTTGTTATTCCTTACGGCAATGAGGTGAAGACGTAAGTTCATATTCAACGCATCTGTGTTAAGTATCTATAAAAAATGGATCAACATTTTAAAGACATGACTAGATAAGTTGCTGTATTTAATGTCTTGAAAATAGTGGTTGCCCCAAACAAGTCATCGATCTTGGTCGATGTATAGAAAAATAATCATTGATGACTTTCTTTTGTAGGAAGAAAAATTGAATAATATTTTTGTATGAATTATGCGCAATATCAAAATAAACTTTATATAGGTTTCCTGTGTATGTTTGTTCGGCTTTATTGGAGTTTAATATACAATCTTCGTGCATTGGCCTAAATCTACTCACGCGATTGGTCAAAATCAATCACGTGGTTTCTTGTTGCCTGGCGACAGATCATGAAAATCGTGGTTTATTCGCAATAACCCACGAAAATCGTGGTTTATTCGCAATAACCCATGAAAATCGTGGTTTATTCAAAAATGACAGCCTGCAGCGAAGCTTAAATCTTCAATGCAGCAATCAATGAACTCAGATTGTATATTAAAAGTGTTAGAGACTTTATGTTCGTGTTTTGTTTACAAATAAACGCACTTGCTGACCATACAATGAACTCGAAATGTCAATATTGCACTCGGCCTACGGCCTCGTGCAATATTGAAATTTCTCGTTCATTGTATGGTCAGCGCGTGCGTTTATTTGTCAACAAAACACTCACAACAGTCTCTAACCCTTAAATAACTTTATAAATTCTTTCTAGAATCCCATAAGATTCAGAGCATCGAGAACCTTACCATTTCCTTTAAAGCAATTGATTGAATAGGTCCCAATTTGAGAGATCTAAATACCATATGGTATTAATAATAATAATAAATATGGTGGTGACATTGTCATGCGGGTTTTGCACCATGTGTACGTGCTTAACTGGGAGGTTTATCGTGTCCGGAACCTGATTGGCAATCTTTTGTTTATGCTTAAATTTTGTTGCTTTTCCACATTTTTTGTCGCCAATCACCTTGAAAACAGGAGAGAGAAATTAGAATGTAGAAAAACAACCAGCCTATATCTTTGTCAACTGCTAAATAGCGATAAAATTCAATTTAATTTTATATAATCTTTGTATTTTCCCTACCATTGGTTTGGTACGGCGTAACTTCGTCCTCTATTCTTCGCTGTCGACCTATCACTCTTGTGCGAGACAGACTGTTTGTAACTGTTGCCGTACATCTTGTTTAATAAATTTTCTCGCGTCTTCTCTTTGTTCTTCCATTCTGTCCACCGTTCAAAAATATTCAATTCGTTCGCAATAAGCACGTGTGGATGAGCATCCAGCAGGGAGCCAATTAAGGTGTGTCCCTTACGTGGGTAGCCAATAAACAGGACCAACGTTTCGATTTTCGATTGAGTATCTGCGCTGGGTTTCATAAAGGTGTTTTCGTTGTGGCTATGCTCTGAAAGGCTGAGATATATCGGCGGGAGAATAAATTTAAATCAAGCTCTGTGGCTGAAACGGCGACAAACTTTTTTTCATAGAGAAAGCACTTGCAGCTGTTTGCGAATGACTGACAATTCCTCCAAATTTGTTAACGGTTGTGTTTCTGGAAATGACTTGTCATCAGTTTCAGAGACTGAAAGGGTCACCCATTTTCTAGAATTTGAAGGTTTGATCGTGGTCTTTACCTTCGTCTGTACCACGCAGAATTCGCTTGAGGATAGTGGTAGATTTTCTATCTATGATTAATACCACTTCTTAACAAATCGAGACGGTTTTTAATAAATATCCGTGAATTGAAACTACGTTTATTCTTGCCGATTGTGTGATTATTTCGCTGGCTTTGCTATTTCCAAAATAGACAGCAAATAATTAATATCACTATTTAAATGTCGAGAAAACTACAACAAGTAATCTAGGAACCGATTTCGTATTGGCGGCCATATTGGATTTCATATTGCATTGGAAGCCATCACAAACAGCAGTTTAAGTTCCAGCCCTTGATAGAAATCGCTAATTTTCACTTTGTATTTCCACAATATAACTATATTACATGACAAAATTGACATAGATTCAAATAGTTTAAACGACCCCCTACAGATATCAGAGTAACTCACAATATTCCCTGTCTCAACAAATACATACAAATTTTAATACCGATGTTCATGTGTACACTAAGAAGTTGGAATATTAGTTAAATATCACGGTTTGAAAACTCAAACAGATTTCAACATATATCAATCAAATATATGAAGCAAAATCATCAGTGAAATTGATGCGGACAGTGAAATTGCATAGCATCCTTGGAATCACAACACAATAATCCCTATGGCTATGAATGATCACTTATATTTGAAATAAATGCATCAGCAACTTGTTTGATACAGAAAATATACGACTATGGGCAAGCAAATAATTTGAAAGGACTAATAGATGTTTAGGTTAATTGAGAAATCACAATAAAATGTATATAGGTATGTATGTATTTCGACTTGTAGAGCATTAATATTTTCAATAAAGCACCTCGCAGCTTTCATGGATGTTTTAGCAGAACTCAGTTCATACTAATGTAGGAATATAAATAAAAAAATTTCGTGTCAGCAACAAATATAGGCGGTTGCTAGTTATGGTCTATACCTTGAACTTTTTGATTGCGTGGCTGGGTTATTAACACTCGCAATTCAACCTCACGAAATATATAAAGAGAACGTAACTAAATTTAAATAACCAAACATCCAACTTATCAGGTATTATTAAATTGTTCTTTTATTTGAACAGAAACTTGTCTTTCTTAATGTCAAGTGCCGCTCTTTATATTTTTACTAAATCTAACACTTGGATATTGACCTTCTAACATGTAACATTGTTATTTCCCAAATTTTACGCCGCTTTCAAACAAACCTTTCGATAATATTTATACTTACGGCACTTTTCTTCTCATTTTGTTAACTTGTGAAGTTCTCTACGCGAAGAAATGAAAGCTGTAAAGTGGAATGAAGAAGAAGAAGAAATGAAATGTAGCTACTATAACTTATAGTGTAAGATTAAAGAATTGAACTAGAATAGAAATCCCAAGTAATGTTTTACATGATAATATTTTAAATTCGTTACAAATGATCATATGCTCAATGAATAAATCGAATATACCAGAATCGAGATAACTTTAATCGTGGGAGTTTATTTCGACCGCAAAATGAAATACATATGACTCGCTCTTTATCGCCGATGTCGTCGAGTTCTACGCTGAGACTATATTATTTATTCTCTTAAGCTGAAGACAAGCTACCATGCATTTAATGTTCACACGCAGCATCTCAAAATAATCGCTGCAAAAAAATTCACTCACGGGAGAGTTCTTTCGTGACACTATTAATATTGCCTCCCACACACAACTTTTTGAAAAAAAAGTAAGATCGGCACTAAAGAAATAGTTGCCTTTAGAATGACCCGGAATATAAAAAAAACAGAGATTGTGCAACAACGATGGTCAGCATTCAATTTTCTACCTAATTTACCCTATGACTATGTTAGCATAATTTTGTTCATTCCCTGTCGCATCGTGTTATCAGTTCGGTTTAAATAGGTTTACATTGTCGAAAGTCTGTGGTTCCCTGTTTCACAATAACTTAGTGTTTTTACGCCAAAAGTTACAAACCTATTAAAACAATCTGAAAGGAGCATATGAACATAGCTAATATGTTAATAAAGAGAGGAAATTGACAACGAAGCTCACAGAACGTATTGAAGAGAAATGCTAGTTTTTTTTTGTCCAAACTTCTTTTGGGTGCAAGAGGCCTGGAGTCTTTAATTTGATTGCTGTGTTTGCTATTTTTGTTGAAGTCAAGCAATGTGAGGATAAGGGGGCTTGGATCGAAGACAACTAATCTAATTTCATCTCAGCTGCCTTTCACCTCTTTAAAACTGGATATAGGCAAAATTTAATAATTACCTCAAAGACCAAAAAGAAAAGCGCTGCCAAACCAATGCTAAGTACATGATTCCTGATGAATTCTTTGAGTTCACGGAAGCAACCCTGTCATAAAAGAATTGGCATCAGATGCATTTTCAGACGGCTGAAAAATGCAATACATATCACATACAGTACATATAAATATAAGTCTATGTCAAAATACTGAGTGTGGTTCAATCTGCCCAGAAAATCTTTAAGTACGTTCAATTTATCGGTATTAAGTGGCTGTAGACACAATACATTATACCGTATATAGATACTTCACTATTTTACGCACCTTAGTGTAAATTCCAGTTTTATTGAAAATGTTTCTACAATGCTGTGTGTTTCCTCCACAGCAACTGTCTGGAACAAGAGTATGCAGTCCTTCTGGATTGAATGAGGGTGCGAAAATCCAGTCTGTGTAATTGTCTACACCACAACATTTGAACTAAACAAATACACGAATACTTAATTTTTAGATATTATTTTGATCATTGATCTATCATCAGCTGATATCCAAGACGCGGTTACGAAAATCCCTTATAATGATTATCTTTCCTGTGCCCATTTCCACGCTTTAGTAATCTCTTTATCATCATCTCTGTTATATTCCTCGATAGATTTCATCATATCCCCATGGAATTCATCTTCAATCTACGAATGATAAAATTTCTCCTTCAATTCAATTTTTGTTTCAACTTATTTCTCACACACAAAGATTATTTTTTGGCTGTCATATATCATTAAATCCTTCAAAAAACACATTCAGTCACTCTATTGGCTACCTTTTCTGAATACAACATTCCCAAGGCAATGGCAACGATTTGCACGAACGTAATTAAGATGAGGACAAAGAGGTACTAGAGCAGAAACATAACAATATTTACTTCATTACTCTTGCCATAATTTTTAGAATTAAATAAATTTGCTAAGAGTCATTATATGTTTAGAAAGATTACTGGAATTTTCCCACATTCCATTACTAATGGATGAATAAACAGCAAATTAGCCCAGCCATTCCTAGGAATCGATACAAAAAATGACCGAACCTCGTCAAGAATTAAAATTTGTGCATGAGATTATCATCATGACCAATAGTAATAAAATTATGTCATGATGGCTACCTTTATTGGGGGTGCTTTCAATATCTTTAACTCGATTTGAACAATTATAACAATATGGAGAGCAATTTATTAAAACGAAATGAACACAGTTCCCGTTAAGGAATTGAAATAACCCGCGAAAATGGCAAGGTATTCGTCATCGAAATAATTTAGTCTCCTTAGAGTGAAATATACTAAAAATCAACTAAGATAGCGCCAAATTACAGTTTATGAGGTCACCAAGCTGAAAATACACATGATGTACATTCATTTTCGAACGTTTTAAATTACATTACATTTGCGGAAGTGCAAATGATCAGGTACAAAACATTCTTTCCCCAAAACTGTATTTACGCTTATTTTGGATGTATACTGGAGCCTAGCCCACAATAATTTCTCGAGTTTTGCTGTTTCTACCAAATTGTGAGAAACTTTGATTGTTAAATTTGTGTTCCGAATATGAGCTGTTTCCAGTGTCCACAGGTTTAAAAAAATATGGTTATCAAAGATTTGGATGATCCCAGCCTCGTGATGTTAATTTTATTTGTTAATGCAACTCATAGAAACGAAAAAATCATACCAGAAATAAAACATTGACAGCAATAAGAAGATTCCGAATGCAGTTGCCTCCGCTCGTTCTAAGATAGTAAAAAGAACGAAGTTAACAGAAGCACATTATCTTAGACAAAATATGAATTGAAGTAAATTGTGACCTCGTTGGAAATGGAATTGTAAAGCGTTTTCAAAAAGTTAGCGAGTCAAAAACTTATTGAAAAGAGACAGCTATAATACCGAGTATAAAGGAAATAAAATCTCTCGTCCTTTAAACGTTTAGAAGCGAGAAAAACTGACAAATGCCTCCTATCACATGACAACTCACTCTTATCGTGACGTCATATGACGTCATCATCTCAGATCAGCTGGAATGACCTGGGAATAAGGTACTTGATCATTTCAATAACTTGACAGACTTACGAGAAGGTTTTGTCGCCGAAAGCCATGATCGTCTTGACTGATGAACTACCAGTCTTGGAATAGAAATAAAATGGGTTATGAGTAACTCTTGTTTGCACAAATCTAAATTAGAGACGAAGAAGCTTCCACTGGTCCACACTGCTGTGTGATTGCGGGTATATTGGAAAGTATACAAAAATTCGGATGAATTTCCCGCTATTTTGAGACTCTATTTGATTATGCGATTTTAATTATGCGAGTTTAAAGTTAAAGATTAAATTTATTCCGCACAATGTTTTGTTGATTCTTAAAGATGATCAGTTTTCATTATTTTCGTTTAGGAAAATTGAAAGTACATGAACTCCCCTTTCAAAAAAATGGCGGGTGATTCTCATCGCGAGAAGCGTGTTGGTAATGAAAGTGAAATTAGATTTTCGACGGAGAAGGGGTAAAATTTAGTTAATTGACAAACTAAAAGTTTGATTCCAAAGAAATGAATAATTTACAATACAATTGTAATGCATGAATAATTATATTAGTCTTAATTAATTAATTATAATTATATAGTCCGGCGATGATGACTAAACTAAAACGTTTTGATACTTTATATCTGTTATTTCTTAATATAGTCAAAATATATGACGACAAATTATCATTTTAACAAAATCCCGATACTTCTCCGTATACAATAAGCACTAAATACATTCTACATCTGCGATAATATGCGAGTGCATTTTGATTTAAGAATGAAAGTTGAATAGGCGGTCACAAAGTTTCAAGCCATATCATTCCACGGGTGGATTTTGTGATGGATTACGAAATACATTTTCATACTAATGATTTGTAGAATCTTACCGTGAGGAATAAAAACTTTTTAACTCTTTCCTGATATCAAATTCTTTCTCAATGTTTTGAGGAAGTGGTTCAACATTGCTTCTGATTGGACGAGCATAGTAATTTAAATAATATGATTAATTCTTTTCTTCTAATTCTTTTCTAGTAATTTAAATAATATGATTAATTCTAATAATATGATTAATTTCACACGAGAGGCGGGTGAAATGAATAATATGTGTTTATGATTCCAGTTTGAGACATCACTTCAACGCTGGTCTTCGAAGAATAAAGATGAGTCCATGCCAAGAAAATTTCAACAGAAATTGCTATCAGATTGCTATCGTCTTCAGCAAAAGAGAAGTTTAATAGAAGTTTACTATCTCTGACACACTGTCGTTGGTGTAATACCAGGTAATATGCCTTTCCCTTTGCGTGTTTTATCAGCTTGTTTCGTCTTGAGCTTTTGGGCTGAGGTTTCATATGTCTTTAGTTCACGTCTTGTAATGCCTTTCTCGTGTTGTGTTCAGCTTCAAATACAAACTTGTATAGCACTAACGTAGCTTTTATTCTTTTCATGCAGAATTTTGACGTATTAAAGCAAAGTTAAACGATGAGATTTGTGAACAAGAGATTGACGACCGATGAATTAATTGTGGCTGAACTGGCTCAAGATAACTCGCCTTTGAAGAGAAAGCAAGTCTAGGCTTTTTCTGCGGAATATTGATGATATGAGAAAGGTAATATATATAGGTCAAATCTTACCGTTGAGCCGCTAACCTTCCCTCTAACCACACGCTTGAATGTTTGAATTGAGTTCTTAAGACCTACGTTTGAATTGAGTTCTAAAGACCTAAGCAGTGAACTAATGGTGCCTTTTATTCTTCCAGGTGGAGTTTGAGAGCTTAAAACCAAACTGAATGAAGTGAAATGGGCAAAAAGTCCGTTACCGTAGCTGAAATTGCCCGAAACGACTCGCATTTGACTTAAGTCAAGATAACTCGCCTTTGAAGAGAAAGCACACGTCTACGGATTTTCTTTGGACTTGTTGATGATATGAAAAAGGTAATATACGCTAAATCGTATGTGAGCTGCTAACCTTTGCTCCAATCGCAAGCAATAAACTTTGAATTGATTTATAAAGACCAAACCAGTGAACTAACATTGCCTTTTGTTCTTCCGGGTGGAGTTTAAAAGCTAAAGCCAAACCGAATAATTAAATATAGAAATAAGCTGGGAAAGAAAACCCATAGCTGAAACTCCTCGAGATGACTCACATTTAAAGAGACGGCAAGTCCAAAGCTGCTCTTCAACACTTGTTGCTGAAATGAACAGGTAATTTTGGGTCTATTTTATTCAAAATAGGATGATGAACTTGAAACGCTTGATAAATCCTTGGTAAATCCTTGAAATCACTGTCTATAACAAGCATTCTATTGGTTTTATTGCAGGTAGCGATTTAGCGGGTCAAGCCATTTGAAACAACGACAAAACCTGTTCATAATAAATAAAACGTGAGTACTAAGCAATTAAACATTTTTTAGATAAACCGAACAATGGGGAGTTTATGCATGATTCAGGTCAAGAACTACAACGGCCGCATGGTAATTTAATATGAATAATGGCAAGGAAATACTTGAAATCCCAGAGAGGTTTTATAGATGCTGTTTTGGGTCTGTTTACAATCCCGATTTTACGCGTGTTTCTTCTCAATAAAAAATGTAGTTTGCTTATTTCTTTAATCTTATTTCAGGTTGATGGACTCTTTTGAGCTATTACCGACAAGCCAAATCGACGGCAAATCTACGCCTAATGTAGGCCAACTCGACGGCAAATCTACGCCTAATGTAGGCAACCTCGATGGCAAATCTACGCCTAATGTAGGCAATCTCGACGGCAAATCTACGCCTAATGTAGGCAACCTCGACGGCAAATCTACGCCTAATGTAGGCCAACTTGACGGCAAATCTACGCCTAATGTAGGCCAACTTGACGCCTAATATACGCCAAAACTACGCCAAATCGACGCCAAAAAGCAACGTTCTGCGATGCCCGGGCATCGTTACAGGTTAGAGTAGCCTGGTGGTCAAAAAATGTGCATGCAGGGGTTAGTCTGTGCATGATTAACTTTAAGTTAACGAAGTTAACTAATTTAGTTAACGAACTTAAGTTAAATAAATTTTTAAGTTCAGTTAACTACGTTCTGGCCACCAGGAACTGCATGATGCATGTGAGGAAACGTTTCTTAAATTCAGTTAAATATTTGAATCGGTTTTGGGCTTAGGACTGCTTGCTTGTGCTTAGGGTCGCGATAAGGTTTAGGTTGATAATTTGTCTGTTAAAATTGAAAACATATATCACAACTGTTATATATATTACCCATATTTCACCAAAGAAATGGCTAAAAAGCCATGCACACTAACAACACAAACCAT